AGCCCGGAAGACCCACACCAGCCATCGTATGCCGGCCGTGAAAGCCTTCGACAATACATCCTGGAGAAGGGTTATCGACTTGTAGTTGCTAAGAGTCAATGCTGACTTAAAGACACATAATCAATCAACCAACCAATATGTTTCCCTGTCATTCAGAGATCAGATTTTTACACTTTAGGTACCCTGTATTTATTGTCAGTTATGAAATTTCATTCTGCCCTGGAGTCTTGTTTCCTTTCTAACCATACAGATGATAACAACACAGTTACAGGTTGTAGTCTATGGCATCGTACCTGAGAAATGGGTAACTGTAAGAAGAAAATAGCTACTGTTTGTTGTATAATGGAAAGAGCAGGAGAGAAAAATCAGAAACTGTTAGTACTGGAATGAATGCATTGCTTCATGTTTCAGGACAGATAATGGCTTCTTATGTCATATGGTCTTATGTACTCTGCAGATATTTCTTGTGTTAGAAAAAAACCACAGTTCTTCCCTCTTTCTTATCCAGAAGTCACACTGGGTGGAGCCTGGAGTGTGCATATATGATTCTTGCCTTTTGGGATGTGCCAAGGAAGAGCAACAACAGGTTTGAATGTTGTCTGCCTGTCAGTTAGGTGCTCCTTCTACTTGTGAAAAGACTACTTGACAAGAATGGAAAGCACAGTAGAGAAGGTAAGGAAGAGAATGCCCCTGTTCTCTGTATTTTTTGAGGAGGCTCTGCTAGGAAATCATAACTACTAGGTTCCCCCACTGCCCCCATCCTTCAGTCAATTTGAATCTTCTGAAATGCTAAAATGTTGGGCCTATTTCCACCTTTGAATTGCTTCTGGGTGTTTTGCTAAACAGTTTGGTTCTCTCTCTACAGGAGGAAAAAGATACTAATGTGTTATGGGGTGGCTTTGAATATTATGGAATTTGTTGGGCAATGAAAGGAATGACTGAAAATTCATTTAAATTTTACAGACAAAACAAGCTTCCTAAGAATGCCAATCAACTCCCTGTTGCCAATATATTTTTTTAAAAGGATAGGAAGAGAAAAGTGATTCAGGAAGGTCGAAGAGATGCGCAAGGTGTTACAAAAATTGCCACATGTGTGGCCAGTAGAAAAACAAACGAGTGGGAGAATGCTGCTTGCCTTCCAGCATCTCATTCTTAAGTAACAGGTTTGGGGAGACAATCTGGCTGCCTGTTTGGATTTCAGAACATTTAAGTTGCTTATTAATTCATTAATCTTGTTTCCTTGGTTTTGGCTTCATATTTGATTAATTAATCTTGCTTGCTTGCTTGCTTGCTTTTTTTTTTTTTAAAAAAACCTCAATATGTCTTTGAAGCTATAACAACCTGATGCAGTTTTGGAACCCTGAAAATTATTATTATTTAAAAAAAAAGGTATAAGAAGTGGCTAAAATCTTGTGAGATTCCAGCCTGTTTATTTCTTGGCGGCTGCCAACATCACTCAAAATCATGTGATAACCATCTAAGAAAGTTGGTGCCTGACGCATTTTGACGTTTGCCATTTAAATATGGTCACACATGTGTGCTTGCAAAGAAAAACGTGGCTTAGTTTATTCAGCTCACCACTCAACTTGGATTTTTCTTTTTTATTCTTTATTTTTATTAGAGTTTTTGAATACAAGACTTGCAAGATTCCAATAGAAGAGAATATGTGTTTAAACTGGGAAACAGTTTTAACTGGGACACTGTCAGCATTTTAGACCAGGCTAAATCCAAAAATGCAAGGGAACTCTTGGAAGCCTGGCATTCAGACAAGGCAGCCATCAACAGACACATAGAGATAAACAGCATCTACGCACTATTCAAAAGAGACAATAGAAAAGGAAACAAAAGACCAGAACATCTCCTCGCCAGCAGTCATCACCCAGATAAGCAAGGTTACCACCAGGCACACAATCAAGCAGTAAACAGATGCTAATCAAAGAACTACCAGAGAAGCAAAACAAACCCCCCACCCCCACCAACACTGGCAGGGCAGGCCACAGCACATAAATAGAGAGCAAAACCCATCCCACCTTAGAACTGAAGATGTTACCTAGCTGGGTAATGAAACATTTGCAAGAAAAGAACCAAGCTCAGAGAACCCCAAGGACTCCACACTTGCAAGATTGTTGTCCGCCTTGCAAGGTAGTCCAGATAAGAAGCAGCAACCATGAGTACTAACACTACCTTTATTGTAAAGTTGCAAGTCTGAAAGTACATCTCTCCCAGCTTGCCTTTACAGTCTAAGAAACTAGGGAGGATCCCTTCTGAGATGTTTACCACACCCCCATTCCTTCTTCAGGCTCAGCTGCCTCTTAACTGACCGTTGTCCACTCTGTGGCTCCTCCTCCTATCTCCCAAGATCATTCCCATATACCATTACAATGCCAGAACTGACTAAAATCAAATCTTAATTACAGAATCGGCAAAATTCAGCAAGGATCACCATCCACACAGCCTTGCATGTTGGGCTTTGTGTGTGCAGTGTGAACAGAGCTGGCTACTTGCATAGATAACTGCTTCCATGGATAGATCACCTTTGCTGGATTCAGACATATGTGAATGAAAAACAATTGCTTATGGGAATGAAAATGCGATATTAATTCAAGTATTAATAGTAATAAAATCAGCAACAGTTGTAGATAGTTGTATGGGCAGGATATGTACCTTTAATCTTTTAAATACTATTTGTCTGGTTTAAGCTGCTGGTTCAGGGCTGATTTCACCTGCAGGTAGAGCAGTCATTTATAAACTCTTCCAGATCTAGAAGTTCTGTAGTTCTATAGAAGATATATCTATCTTTTAGTATCTTCCTCTGTTGTATTTCCAGCTTCTTCAAGCAGATCAAGAGACCTGCCTTAGTACAGTATATACTCCCTCCATTCTATGGCTGCTTGCTGTTTAATTTAAAGCACCCTAGTAAAAAACATTTAAACATTAACATGCAACTTGTCTATTTTTTGAAAATATGCTACAAAACCTAGTAGTTTTGTAGTGGTAGAAGTGGGTTTTGGTAATAACAGAAATAGGATACTGGGAAGCATTTGCTCAGTGCCTTAAGAATAGCTTCTGCTGCAAAGTGGGACAATTGGCTTCCATGGGGGTTAATCTTGAATACATTTCTTTTGTGCATGACAGTAGTTCTCCATGAACTTGCCTGGTCAAATTTATACACATTTGGATCCAATTAATGGCAGTAAAGATTGCGGCAAATGATCGGATGTTTAGTATAATATGCTATCATAAAATTGTCACTGGAAATTGCTCCCTGATCTAAAATATACTATATTCAGCTAGGAATGTGCAGATTACTATATTTCCCATCTGTGTCAGTGCATGCATTCTCATTTTTTCTGCCAACTTTAGCAGATAGTTTAGCAGACACCAAAGTGCCATAGTTATAGGGACCCTGGATATGTTTTCCCAATATACATTGTTTTGTATGCATTTGGGGGACTCCAGGTATTGTATGCTTTGTATGAAATTAACCAAATGTGCTGATTAGACAAATGCATGCTGTTTTTCACATAATGTTCTCCAATCACTGTTGGTTTTATATTGTTGGAGTCCAACAGATTCCATTTGCTACTGGTGTCTATGCAAGGCAGGGCTTCCTTAGGTGAGTCAGGATACCTAGAAATCTGTGGTGTATTTCTTTTTCAGAGTTCTGTGAGGTGCATTTTGTCATTAACTTTATGTTTACATTAACTTCATGTTTATCAGTGATTAAACAACACCTGGTTGTTCTCTTTATAAGAGCAGTTGTTAAATGTTGTTTTAAAGAAGTGAGCTAATTTATCCTGAATAATTTGGGGGGGGGGCATATGTTTTTCCGGAGAAGAGAAGAGGACAGGATGCTAGGACCCAACAACTAGCTAGAGAACTGAGGAAAATTAGTGCAAGGATTATAGGAGAAGTTAATGGATAAGTCTTTATGTAACAGTAGGAGATTCCTTAGTTTGTTTCCTTAACAGTATGTTAATATTTAGACAAGATCGGATGGAAAGAGGGAGCACAAAGGATTCATTTCCATAATGAACTGTGCATCTTTGCTACTATAAAGCTCATTTGAAAGATTATTTAATAGGTTATAGAACTGCAATTATATGCAAATAAGATCCAGCAGGCAGTTCAGCAATTTCATATGGCAAGTCGAGGAAATCAGATCTGGAAATGCTACCTTGGCTGTCAGTCACCTACGTATTATACTTCTTGGGAAGATGCATATTTCTGTGCTGCAGTCAAAAGAAGGCGATGTCAAAGTCTGAGTAAGTCCCTCAAAAGCAGGAAAGGTGGAAGAAGGCCAGAGGGAGCAGGCCAAGAACCAAAACTCTGGATGTTAGGTGCACATGTGTGTACAAATGTACTTACCTGGGTGTGAGATGAGATAGGCAGACATATGTCAGCAAATTTGCTAAGAAATTGCTGATCATTGAAGAGGTCTGGAATTTTGATTCTAAAGATAAGGTAGCTTGGCCTGGGAAAAAATTAACTTGTCTGGTTACTTTTATAATTTCATGTTGTTTGAAACACATTGCTTATATAAGAGGAACTGGAATTTGTCTACTGCAGTTCCATAGGCAGCTTTGAAGAGAAGTAATTAATGGTATGTCAAAAGATAGAGTGACTGTATTTTTTATACTTCAGTGGAATGAATAATGAGTGCTGGAACTTCTATTTGCAGTGCTTCCATGCCGTGCTTCTTGTTTTATGATCTCAAGTTCGATAACTTTTCATTTATTCTACAATAATAAAGATAATAATGCAAACCAAATGTTAAAAATGGGAATTCTTATATGGAAGCACAAAGTATGGGTTTATTTTTTTAAAGCACCAATGGAACTGGATTTATTAAAAAGAAACATAAAGTACAGGGACAAGTAGGAACCTCGGAAAGAATAACAATAACAATAAGAAGAAATTCTGTGAGGTTTTGAATACAACCTTTGACTTACAAGGTAAAAGTTATAATAACTGTGCTATTATAGTAGTCATTTTAAAGACATCCTTAGAAAGAAATATAGCATTAAGAAAGCATTTATAAAACAAAAGCTTATTGTTGTATCTACTTTTATGTGCATTTTGATGCCTTGACGGTATATATAATTCAATTTCATTTTGTGTGTTTGTGTGGGTATTATACACACACACACACACACACACAATACTATGCATGAAAATATATATGACAAGGAAGACCTATCTCCAGGTATGGAAAGTGACTAATGATCACTTTCTTGAAACAGAAAGGTAGGAGGGCATAGAAGCAGGAGAATGGTCCAGTGGGAGGATGTGGTAGCCTGTACTTTGAACGGAATACTTGCAAGCTGTTGTCAAAGTGTTTCAGTTCAGACAGGCTTTTTAAAAACTGGCCTAAGAGTCAAGCCAGCATGAAGATGGAGCAAGAGCAGCTGAAGTGGTAAGTGCAGATATGCCATATGGCAACCCTGTTACCTCTTGAAATTATAAAAAGTAAAACAGTTCAATACATAGATCACCTGATGGGGAAGGTCACTGTTTGTACACTTTGAGAAATATGGTAGCACTTAAAAATATATAAACTCATGGAATGCCTAATAGACATTTTGAACACAGAGGAGGCAGCAAGAATATTAAGGGACAAAATAGGAGGATTACAGAAGAGGTTCATGACTCTAGGGAAGAGGGGAAGCATGAGAGAGATACTCAGAGTAACTCTGCAGAACAATTACTTTGATGGGCTTTCAAGATTCTATTACATTACCTTATTAGTGATATAGATTTTTCCAGAAATCTAAGTGATTCATTTTTCCTGAGCTTGCCGGCTTCAAAGGGCTTGAAATACACGTAGCAGCCGAGCATCACAAAATAACCACCAACAAAGCCAAGAGATGGGCTCTATCACATAGGTTATCATATGACCATGTCCATCTTCATGTTTATTTGTTCTCATAATGAAAGGTAACCTGAAATTGGGAAGTATGGTAATTTAGCTACTGAAGATCATGAAGTCTGGATAATTAGTTCATTGTAGCAATCATGGTTTTGCAGTATGATGATCATCAATGATGCAAATTTGAGAACATCTGAAGACTGAAAGAACAAGGAAGGTATGCATTTCAGGGGGTTTAGGGCTACCAGACCAGGATGGCCCTTCTCTTCTGCTGCACTGCACCAGAACTCCATAGCAGCATCTAAGGACCTCTTGCAGCTGTGAGTTGCAGGGAAATATTGTGACTGGCCTATAACCAAAATAAATAAATAAATAAATAAATAAAAAAAGAAAGAAAGAAAAAGGAATATGGATGGTAGTGTACAATACCATATGCTAGACCCAAGGGACTGACTCATGTCCTCATTACTGGCTTTGTTTCCATTGCAGAACCAAGTATTTCCAATATCCCTGCTGTCTGTCAAAATTCTGAAAGCCAGTATCACCACCTCTTGTGATCTATGTAAGTTACTGGTGTGTTATGGTTGAAAGATAGAGTTGAGTTACTTAATTGTATTGATCCCACACAAACAGAAATTTAGAAAAGCTGAGTGCAGAGTTGATTCTCTGACTTAGAGTAAAATAAAATGTAATAAACTTGATTGTTTATTGCTTATATGGAATATAAAACTTTCTTGCAACAGCATCTCTTGCCTTTATTCTAGATTTTTCCATCAATTCTCTAGTCTGTAGCCTTCTTTTTCCTATTAATGCCTCACTCTCTCCAACCCACTTTGTTCACGAGTTTTTGGTTTTCAATATATTTCCTGCTCTGAATCTTCAAATAGTCTCTTCTAGAAACCCACACCAGGACATGCCGATTTCCTACACCTTTTCCGCTAAGAGAGTCAATCTTCTACATTTATTTATTTATTTATTTGTTGTATTTCTATCCTGCCACAATCACTTGACTCTTGGTGGCATATGTGATATATTTAATGATTGATAATGTATAGATTAATAGACCCTAGATATCTTTAGAAGTAAATGGCACTCTCGTTCCATAGGAATTTAGCTGCTATATTCCTTTTACTTCTTAAGCTATGCTGAATATTTGAAAAAAAATTACCAATTTCTTCTTTTTCCTGCTGTAGTGTCTTCTTCTGATTGCTATGTAACTTTGCATCTGCCGACAGCATCACAGGAGACATTCAGAACCCAAACTGTCAGGAATTCTTATTACCCAGTCTGGAATGAAACATTTTATTTTAGGATCCAAACCAAAATCAAGGTAATACAATGTAGTTGTGGCAGCATTCATACTATTTGACAGGCTTCCTGGATAAATAGGTCCATAAAATATTCTTGTAAAATTGACTTCTCCAAGTGAAACTGTAAGTATATTGCAAGATTTGACACTTTGAAAAAGAAAACAAACTATTGATATTTTTGTTTCTTTCATTTGGAGATGCTTGTATGCGTGAAAAGTACACATCAGTAGTTTTGTGTGTAGGCACAAAGATCAGATAGCAAATGTCTTTTGTTCAGAGATTACTGTTAATCCATTCCCAAGACTGATAACAAATAGCTCACCCTAAGGTTGCCAGTAGTGAAACATATTCCATAAGACATATTTAATGTGAGGGTTTTAAAATGACAGTGATATCTGTTGTAAAAAGAAAAGAACACTAGTAATTACTGGGGTCTTAGCAGACTTGGAAGGCAGGTCTTTTTTTTTGTGGGATCTCTTCCTAATGCATAAAATCCCAGAAAATAATAATATCCCAGAAAATACAATTTACTGTAGTTAAGATTTCAGGTGAATGTTCCTTTTTCCCTGGAAATGGGGCTGCATTTTTAACCATATCAGCATAGGAGGAATAAGTTAGGCTAAAGAGCACGCGATTACCTTCTTCAGCATCTTAATGCCACCTCTCAGCATCTGTTGCTTGATGCAGCCACCTTGCTCTGCTTTTGATAGAGATGGTCTGGAGGTTCTGATCCAAACCGGGGTGGGGTTGGAGAGGGCTGGATATCACTGCTAATTTGGCATTAGGAGAGAATCAGGGACATGACTAAATAGATGACTTGAAGGGCGGGGAAAGGTTCCAGTCTAAGGTCAAGATAAAGCATTCAGTATTAACAACACAGCAAGATATCATGGTCAGAGTTCAGGTCAGAGTTCAGGAAACCAAGCAAAGCAGAGTATTAGATTACTACAGAAGTTGTTCCAGGACTTGACTGCTCTCAAAACAACTGGTTGCCTAAGCTTGAATATAGCTAGACTTGATTAGTGCTGATTGCAGAAACTGAGGTACTTGGGAGTAATAAGATAAACTGTTATTCATAAGTGGACCATGACCTCCAAGGTACTCTTTCAAAGAACCTGAAAAGTCTTTGTCGCTCTGCCCTTTCAGTTCTTGATACAGTAACATTGCTACTGTCACAGGCTGGAGGCCATAATTCTGTGTTGAGATGAGAATTCAGGGCTGGCAACTCAGAGGCAGTGGAAGATAGTTTTGCTAGTCTCGCAGTACTATCTCCTGGGATCACCAAATGGCCATACTTATTAATTTGGCTCCTGCTCTTCCTTCTCCTCCTCTTCGTTCATCTGAAGGGTCCATAATTTTGAGCAATAAGTTGGGAGGCCATAAACTGGAGCAATATTTGGTGGCATATTATAAAGATAGGATCTTATAGTATCCCAAAGGGCTTGAGGTGAAAATAGTAGTCTTTTTCTGAGATCAAACTTTCCAGGTAGGAACAAAAGCACCAAAGGGTAATTATCACTCATCTGAAGCCAGAGATTTGCTATAACAGATGGTATCAAGAGCTTCTGTAAGAAATGAGAACAACCCCCCTCCAAAAAAAATAGAGATGGACACAAGGAAGATATTATGAAGAAGGTGAAAAATAGTACCTTTCTACAAATTTTAAAGAGCTAGGATTGTTGCCTGCTGAAGCTACAAATACATCCAAAATTTATCCATTTATGTATATGGCAGTGGAGAATACACCGTACCCACATTCAACAGCTTCCCCATTGATTATCCAAGAGAAGATTCAGATTGTGGGGGGACATAAATATAATAAATACATAAGTAAAGAACTAATTTAGCAGTTGTAAAGAGCTATGTGAGATTGACTAATTAAATTTCTTATTCTGGGTATAATCCATTTTCCTGTTAAGTCAATGGCAAAAGTTCCATCAATTGGAAGAAGATATGTTACAGTAGAAATATCTACATTGTCATCAATTAAAAGGAATATACAATCTGCCATGTCTTATCTTCTGTTCCAGAATATCATAGAGCTGAAAGTTTGCCATGCTGATTCAGTCATCAAAGATGATATACAATTTATTGTTCTTTTTGATTTGGCAAAACTCCAGCCCGGAAGTCCAGTCCTTGAGAAATTCTCCTTAAAACCAGAGGTGAGGGCCAAAAAGTTATGTTGAAGATACTAGATAAACATCTATTCCTCATCCCTAATAGATGTTTAGATAGCTCTTATCCTGAGTTTGTTAAATGGCATGTTTCATGGGTTTTGTGAAAGCAGGGCTCAGATAGACAGAATGAAACTTGTGGAAAAGTTTTACAAGCCTAGACATAACTATATGGTATTTATTTTGAAATGACTTTATGTCTGTAGAAGTACAATTTCTATCTATTTGCTACATTTGCATCTGAAAATCAAAATCAAGGGAGAAATACTCAGATATCCATTTCCTGTTAAAAATGGCAGGTGGCCAAGGTTTCAGAAAAGAAGTACTCTTATAAAGGAGATTATTCTTGCAATCACATTTAATCTAAGCAAAATTTGAAGCAACATCGACATTCTTCTCTTCTCTTCTCTTCTCTTCTCTTCTCTTCTCTTCTCTTCTCTTCTCTTCTCT